CACTTAGGGGAAGATTCGCTTCCAGGCATACTCATATGGTTGTCGGCAGGATTCAGCTCCTCGTGGGTTGTTGGACTGAAAGCCCCAGTTCCTTGCTGACCCTTGGATGGAGGCATCCACCACTCCTTGCCACAGGTGCCTCTCTATCAGACAGCCAATATCACAGCTGCTGGTTTCCCTCAGAGACAGCAAGTGAGAAAGCAAGAGAGAGTGTGTACAACGGGAGCTGAGGTCTCTTTGTAATCTAACCTCGGAAGTGATATCCATCACTGTTGCTATGTTCTAGTCACTAAAAGCAAGTCACTATGTCCAGCCCAGGCTTCCCTGATGGCTCAGTGATAAAGAATCCGCCTGCAATGCAGGAGACATGCATTCAGTCCCTGGGTGGAGAAGATCCCCTGGAGGAGGGAATGGCAACCTATTCCAGTATTCTTGCCTGGAGAAACCCAGGCACAGAGGAGCCTGGTGAGCTACAGTCCATGGGGTCGCAAAGAGCTGGACACAATTGAAAGGTCTGAGAATGCATGCACATGTGTCGAGCTCACACTCCAGGGGAAGAAATTATACCAGGGTTTGTGTACCAGGGAGTAGGGACTCACTGAGGGCCATCATAGACACTGCCTACCACGGGGGTCTGCTAACTATATCCTTGTGGTTTTATTTTTTTCAGGCCATGCCCTGGGTCTTAGTTGCAGCATGCAAGATCTTTGATCTTTGTTGCAGCCTGTGGACTCTTAGTTTCAGCCTGTGGACTCTTTAATTGTGGCATGTGAGATCTTGTTCCCAACCAGGGATAGAACCTGGGCCCTCTGCACTGGGAGTCTTAGCACTGGACCATCAGCACTGGGAGTCTTAGCACTGGACCATCAGAGACGTCCCCTACATTCTTGTCTTGAACTTTACCTAAGGCCAGATTTTTCTGGTAGCATCGTGGTTTTGAGCTTTACCCCGAGGCCATATTTTATGAGAGTGGAGAATCTAGGAATAAAGCAGCTTTATTTCAAATCCAGTAAGTCCTGGCTTCTTTAGATTTTCCCCCAGATTCTGACTGAAAATGGAACAGTTCCTTTTTTCTTTAGCTCACCTCACTTCTCTTGCACTAAATCAAAAACGTCTAAAAGGAACCATCCAGTCCTTTTGACATTCTACCCAGATCTAGCTAGATCCACATGTTCATTAGTTATCTTTCATATAATAACAGGCTAGTTTGGCTAACAGTTCTTCCAACACATAAATGGGGTCCCCTTTTCTCTTGCTTGCAGTGACAATACTCAGTGTCCTTAGCAAAGTTCTCTGGCACTTCCCCAGTGGTCCAGTGGTTAGGACTTGGGCTTCTATGGCAGGAAGCACAGGTTCAATCCCTAGTCGGGGAACTAAGATCCTGCAAGCCACAGGGTGTGGCCAAAAAAGAAAGAAAAAAAAGAAAAAAAAATGCTCTTCATGAGCAGACTCCTCGAAGTTCTTCCAGCTTCTGTCTAACACCTGACCCCAAAGCCACTGCCACTTGTTTGGGGTTTGTCATTGTGACACCAGGATCCCATTTCTAGGTATGCAAATTATGTTTCAGTTATCTATCTCTGTATAACAAACCACTCCAAAACTTAAGTGCTCTCAAACAACAGTATTTGCTTTTTGGCTAAAAATTTTGCAATTGGGGAAACAACTCATTGACGACTGTTCACATCTCTTCCATGCGGTGTCAGCTGGGGCAGATCAACGGGACAGGCGTGTCCACTCGCGAGATAACTCACTCGTAAGTCTGGCATTTGCTCCCCACCGTCTGCTGTGAGCTCAGCTGTAAGCCAGGGACCTAATTCTCTTCCACTTGGGCCTCTTCATGTGGCTGTGTAGGCCTGCATAAATGTTGGAGGGAAGTAATTGAATCTCAGAATTGTTTTAGGAGGTGAAAATCAGGATGTTGTACAACAATGTGAATATACTTCACACCACTAAACCCTACACTTAAAAGAGGTTAAGATGGTAAATATGATGTTGTGTGTTTTTAGCCACAATTAAAAATAAATAAATAAATTCAGGGGAAGGTGGTGATGGCCTGGAGGTGGACAGGGGCGGGGTGAGGGAGAAAGAAGTGCTAAGAAGAACAGAAAACAATCAAATGCAGCCTGTGGCTTCAAAAACATTTTTGGTCCAGGAAAGGATGTAAGAGAGTCAACGGACAATCCTAACACTTGTGGTAGATCCTGCAGCTTTCTGCCTCGGGTGCTAACAGAGTTACGAAGCCCACACCACACAAATTGCCTCAAAATAGACCTTTAATGTCTGCAATTCCTAGAGAGGAACATTTAAGACATAATTATAGGTTTGGATTTCTTAAAGCAAACTTCAAAACGAACACTGCCAGAGAAACAGAGATGAGTAATGAAAACTACAGGTGCATAGAATATTTCCCTCTCAATCTAGTCAAGAACCTTGCAGGCCAGAAGCAATGAGGCAAAGCGGTGGGCAGGGGGTAAGCAGATGTTTCTTCGTCATTAGCCCTGTTTTTCTAGGAATATAAAATCCCTTTGTTGTCTGATAACTCTTAGCATGTCTGGAAACTATTGCTACTGAGACCTCATTTTGATACTGTCTTTCTTTTAAGTAGTAAACCAGGTCATAAAGATCATTTATATCCTGATTCAACTGTTTGTCCCCTCACTCTTTTGCTTCACTGATGAAGTTTTATAAATAGCCAGTCTATTTACAGATTTTCACTGAGTTTTGCTGGCAACTTAACTCTACTGTTCTTCCAAGTAAGCCTAAACTATTCTTCATACAAAGGACAAAATAGGAGTCCCTGTTTTCCTGGTATATTACACCATGAATTTCACCCTCACCGTTGACTACATGTTGTAGATTTCCCTGCTTTGTTGTTAATTGCCTGATGTGTCTGTCAGTTGACTGGCTGAGTGGTGTGATTTTATTTTGCAAAACCTCATCGGTTATCCCATCTTATGCAAGCTCTCTATCGAGGGTCTCCCATGCAGAACAGTGACTAAACACCACTACCAGGAGCCTGCCTAATGCTTTTGTGGTGCTCTTCATGCCGAGAGACCCCCCCACTAATTCAGTCTCTCCTGCAAGGTCTTGGAAGGATCTGTTTGTATCATTCACGCCCTAGAATTAATACCTGATAAGAATGTGTTTATTCATTCCGAAGTAACTATTGAGTGCCTACTACCTGTTGGGTGAACACAATAATAAACAGGCCAGACAAGGATCTTCCATAGAACATATTCTCATTTTTTCATTCCAGAGGTTTTTTTGACTTTTAACAACGGACAAGGTGCCAACTTGGCTTAAAGACAAAGGCATCAGGTTCTGTGTTTCAGATTAAACCACATTTCCTTGGATGGGGTTAGAGGAAGTTCTCCAGCATCCTAGAATCACAGGACACCACCCACCTACTCCTAAGTGGAGTCTGATGGGGACATTCAGAGACTAGGTCTATTGTCATTTTTCTTGGGCCTCTGCCAGGCTCCAGTTAGACAATATCTTTCTGTGGAGTGTATTCAGGAACAGGCAAGAATGGCCAAGAAGGGCAAAGAATTGCCAGTGGCTGGCATCGGTGGTCAGCACATGGGCCCAAGACCACCACTCTGCCATTGATCAGAAAGACATTGCCCCCTCGTGGTTCCTTATATAACTGAGGGAAGAACTGGAAGTGCAAAGGGCCAGTTTCCAGATTAACTTTTCTCTTAGCTCTTTTGAACTTCAACTGCAATTTCAATAGTCTCTTGGTTTATTTTCATCCGGGGTACATTCTTTTTCCCCATAGAGAGAAATGACATCATGACAGCAATGAAATCTTTTATCAGAATCTCCACCCCAACCCCAGAGAAGTTTAATTTAATATGTAAATCCAAATATCACTCCTGCTTTTTTTTTTTCCAAAATGCTCTCAAAGCAAATTATTTTCTTTGGTTTCTACGTTGAACCAGGACTTGCGGTTCTGGTGATGTAGCCGCGGAGCTGTTTGAGGTATCTTGTCTCCAGGGCACCACTTTAAATTCCCTAAAAGCAGAAGCCTTATCTTCAACCCCGTCGCCACCCCCATCCCATTCCCAGGAGCACTTAAACCAGTCCAGGGTGAAGAATGTCTAGTGGGGGAGGAGGGCGAGGGCAGAAGGAGGAGGGGAGGAGACTGAAGCAAGCCAATAAATAATTAGAAATTGTGATCGTCGCTGGGGCTGGAAGGGAATGGCGTGCTGTGTGAAATCCCGGGAGTGAGAAATGAAGGAGAATCTACCGATGTTTGGAGTTTTAAATTATGTGTTTGCAGCAGTCACTCAGTTTGAAAGCTTAAATGATACAATATTGGAAAAGCTCTGGGTGGCGCAGGAAAAGTGGAAATTAACCATGTCAGCTTCCAAGTATAGCCAACAACTGGGTCCGAATGGGTGCCAGGTGCTATAGTTTTATCTATCAACTTACAATCTCCTCTAATAACAAACTCCTGGGAGAGGAATAGAACTACTACTATTTCACAGAGGAGGAAGCAGAAACCAGGCAGGTCTTCCTTCGGCGGGTGGGGAGCCAGCAGGCATGGTACGTTGACCTCCCAGTATGCTGAGTCTCCCTTCTTTCAGCGGCTTTGACCCTCTGAAGATCATGTCTTGNCCGCCCGCCGCCCGCCGCCCCTCCCCAGCGCGCGCCATCCGGCCGCGGGCCGCAGCCCTCGGCGCGGCCCCTCCTCCCGCGGGGGGCTCTGCCGTCCCTCGTCCCGTCCCTCCGGGCTCCAGCCGGCAGCCCACGTCCAGGGAGGGCGGAGAGAGGAGGAGGGGAGGGGAGGGAGGAGAGAGCGGGGGGAGGGAGGCAGGCAGGCGAGAGAAGGGGAGCTGCTTGGAGCCCGGACTTCCCAGAGCCAGCCAGGAGCGCGCACTCAGCGGCTCTCCGGGTCCCCGCCGCGCCCCGCCGTCCCGCACCTCCCTCCTCCTCCCGGGGTACCCCTCGCCCCCTCCCTCCAGCAGCTGCTACGTCCGGGCCAGCGGCCGCCCCCCAGCCCCTCTCGGCCACATCCCCAACTCTGCGGACTCACTCCCGGGACGCGCGTCCTCGCCCCATCCTTTCTTCCTTCCTGCCTTCCCTCGCGCCCGCCCGCCCTCTCCAGGTCTCCCTCTCGGGTCGCGATTGTCTCCGTCCCCTCCGCGCTGCGCCGGCGCCTCGCCCTGCCCCGTCTCCCCCTCGCACTTCCTGAGTCGCCGGCCGCCGCTGCCCCGACTCCAGCCCGCGGCGCCCGGGGAAGGGAGAAGTGGGCGAGCGCGCCCTCGCCCAGCCCCGCGCCCCAGCCCTGCCCGGCGAGGGAGGACCGGGAAGATGAACAACGGCAGCAAAGCCGAGAAGGAGAACACCCCGAACGAGGCCAACCTTCAGGAGGAAGAGGTACGGGGAGCGGCTCGGTGCCGGGGCGGGGACGACCTGGGACGGCGGCCGCGGGCTCTGCCCAGAGTGCGGGTGGGTGGCCGGGCGGCCGGCGGGGCGCGGGTCCCGGGGCGCCGGGCTGCGCTGGGGAAGGGCGCCGAGGGGCTGGGAATCGCCCCGGCCCGGAGACGCAGCCCCAGACTGCGGCCGCGGGATGAGGGTGTATCATCGGAGAGTGTGTTTTGGTGGGTCCACGCGCGTCTGCGTGCCTGAAAATTGCGTAACTTTGAGGACTTTCCCGAGACCTCTGTAAGTATAATGGTCAGCTTTGTTTCCCCCGGATTTTAAAAGCGGAATCGAGAGCTGACTCCTGGGTGACCTCAGATGATTGGGACCCCGGAGGGTCAGAACTTAGTTCTGCGTCTGGGGCTGAAAGTTGTGGGGTGTGTATTTGTGTGGTTTAGGGAAGAAACTCGGGGAAAGTTCTCATGAAAAGACACCTTCCGTCCCCCCCCCCACCCCATTTTTATGCGAAAAGTTCTCGGCGAAATATCTTTCCCTGCTAAGACGTTTTGGATTAATAGATAACTCATCAGTCGCATTTGTCTGGGGCTGAAAGTTGTGGGGTGTGTATTTGTGTGGTTTAGGGAAGAAACTCGGGGAAAGTTCTCATGAAAAGACACCTTCCGTCCCCCCCCCACCCCATTTTTATGCGAAAAGTTCTCGGCGAAATATCTTTCCCTGCTAAGACGTTTTGGATTAATAGATAACTCATCAGTCGCATTCTTCTCCGATGAGTCAAAGACCCCGAACCTGGCTGATTAGGTTTTGTAAATTTAGGGGCGTTGCGGTTGTGGGGCGCAGCATGCTGGAGTTTCAGACTTTGCAACTCGCGAAGTGTTGATCCAGACTATTTTAATAGGACTTTAACGTCTCAGCGTAAATTTTATGTGGTGCGTCCTTAACAACGGTAAAAATGTTGGGGCTTCAGAGCGTTCCTTTGGTAGAAACAAAACTCAGTACATGTGGGGGAACTTCTGAACAATCGTTTCAGTATTTGTAGTTGGGATATTTGCGTTATCTTGTTAAATGGGCTCTGTTCTTGTAGGTGCGTTATCTAGAACCCAGTAAACACTGTTTTCCGCCTACCTTTTGAAAAGCCCAGGAAATTGACTTCTGAAACATTCCAAAAGGAACTTTTAGAGTATGTGTAGATGCCAGAAAATATGCACTGTAGATAAGAGCTTTCTTACAGAAAGGTGAACTGATTGCTAAGCGGTTAGGGTGTTGAGATGATTATGGAAGTACTGTGTTGCGTGTAAACTAAAATTCTGATTGTGAAACCCAAGGTTGCGGAGGACTTAATACATTTAAGCCCTCAGCACTGTAAAATGGGAACTATTTAAATAGAGAAGATAGAGGAGAGAGCTCCAAGACCAAGCCAAACATTGTGCAAAATAACACAAGATTTTACTCTTAACACAGTTGTTTGTGGGTGCAACCCAGGTGAAGTGCTGTTGAGCCTGAAGTTGCCATTTCACCTGAGCAGATCGCCTTTATTATTATAAACTGTTCTGAAAACCATTGTTTTTACAAGCTGGCTTTTTAAATTGCAAGTGATGGAATAGTACTGACATTCCTTCTCTTTCAAAGAGATGGAGCCTTGAATTGCAAGTTCCGTTTTTTTTTCTTGAACCTCACTGGCTGCTTTCCTATTTTATTTTCCCTACCACTGAAATAAAATTTAAAGGGTAGCTTTTTTTTTTGGAGAATGCTGGAGTATTTTATTTTTTATAATTAATAAAAAAGGTAGCTTTTTTAAGGAATTGCAGTGGCTGCAGAAACCTTTCTGTTTCACTTAGGTTGGCGATCTGTTGATTTCTAAGGGTGAGACTATATCACATGAAACCATCTTTCTCTCTTCACCTGAAAGAGAAACTTGTAAGAGTTCATCAGGGTAAACCAAAGACTTTTTTTTTTTTTTTTGTTTGAGTGTCTGCACACCATAAACTATTTGACAGAATTAAGCAGAGAAAACTCAGCTTTTTCTGCTTGACCCAGCTCAGCTTAACTGCCTGCAGCACTGGCCTGTTTGCCCGAACCCCAGGTGTCTTTATGTGCGAGGCTGGGTACCAGGAAAATCACAGGTGATCCCAGTACAATTGCTGTCTCTTAACCTGTCCTATTGCCTTGTTAAGTCTTCCTTTATCAGGTGGAAATGGCCCGTGGTTCTAGAAAGTATCTGTCTTATTGGCTAGATACTTGTTATTTTAAAAATAAGGGGACAGATTAAAAAATCTTAGAACCTAAGCTGTACAAGAGATGGAGCAGACACAACTCCAAAACACTGTGAAGGGAGAGGTTTTATGAGGTTAAAAATTTGGGAAAAAGTAAGTTGGCCTGAATGATCTAGGTAATTTTGCCCTAATTCCCTGTTGGGGTTTATGTTTTGTTTGTGAAAAACTCCTCCTTTTTTCCCCAACCCTGAAAGCCACAACACATGTAAAATACATGTGTTTGAGTCCCATTAATGTGCTCAGCAATGTACAAAACCACCCGAATTGGTCCTTCCCCTTGCCCACCCAGGGATCAGCAGTTTGTCCTCAAACACATTGGAAAGCCACGGTGGAGGATTCCAGTAAACAGAACACACACACGTAAATATATGTACACATAATGATGAGTGTTTTGTAGCTTCTGGTAGCTATTGAGCTGATGAGGAAGAGTAAGTCCAGTCACCTTTGAGGGAAAATAGTTCATTTCCTAGATCACCAGAGTTATTTAGACTTTCTCTATGGACAAAATCCGGGTTTTATCCTACCCCCCCCCCCCCNTTAAGTGTGTTCCTTTTATCTTCCGGTACATTTCAGCGGCCCACCTCCCGGTTTGAGAGCTTCTGAAGCTCACTCTGAAACAGATACTGAAACACTTTCTTTAGTTCCAGTGCTGTAGAAGGAACAGTCTTGAGACCTAGGAGCATTTCTGCAGCTTTTTAAGGTTGGAAGTTTTTGAGACTTTGGGCAGGATATAGTCTTAATGCTTTGGGTAATATTTAAAACTTTGAGGAAAAATAATTTTAAGATTTGGCTAGCCAGTAGTGTCAGAGAGAGGATACATCTGGCTTTCTGGCTGTACATGCGTATTCCTATGGTGTACATGCGTATTCCTTTGCAACTTGTCCTGGTAAAGAAGAACCGGTTGTCAAAATCTTAATGGCGCCTGAGATTTACAAGGCGTCTGTATACGTTTGTGTAGGGCAGACATGACTGGGTGCCTGAATAGCAGGGCAGAAGAGCTTTTCTTGCACAGCTTAATGCAGTTAATGAAGTAAAAATTCCTCGAATTTACCTCTACTTTTGGACTAGACATTCTTCTCTTCAAATACTTCACACTTGACAAATTTTACTACAGTTAATATGTAAGAGACATAATTTTTCGGCTTGAAGTCCTGTATAGTGAAAACGGTCTAGTAGTAGATATTTTTGATCCCTGAATTTTCAAAATGGAAATCGGATAAATAATTTGGTCTTATTTTTACTTTTATGGCATGCCGTTGGACACTTTTCAGGCTGATTACAAATCACTTCTAAAAGGTGTCTTTACTACGTTGAAGCACTCATGTTAGTTTTCTCCTTAAATTGCTGTGAACATTCTTGTACTTTAAAACAAAACTTGGCCTTGTTGGAATATTGATCAAAAAGATGCTTGGCAGATGGTGGTCAGAAGTCACAAAGTCAGGTGTTCAGGAGTTCAGTACAGATCTTTACCTTGCATTCTACCTTTCAAAGTGCTTTGTAATTTTCCCCCAAATAACTGGGGTCATGAAGAAAATTGTTTCTGATGTAATTGGCACAGAGAAATGTGTGGTGGTTTGATGCGGCAACCTCAGGTTTTCATTGAGCATTTAGATGAATCGGTATTTTGACCTGGGGAAAACTACAGAATGGTTTTGTACAGTTTAACCAAATTTGGAGTCTGTTACTCCAAATCAAATCAAATACAGTAAACTTATATTTCAGTCATAAATAGGATTTGGTGACAGCGTTTTGGATGAAAATATGGTGATTTCATAGTAAAATGATGCTGCAAGACCACTGCCAATATGGCATGCACTTAGTTTTCCAGTAGTGGCTTCAAAATTTCCATGATAAACCCTGATGCTCACATGCAGTCATCTGCTTCTAAGGGCATTTGTGTGTGTAATGCCCTCATTGGAGATACTATCATGTAAATTTTTCAGGTTCATCTTAATTTTCCACTTTGAGGATAGAACTGTGTTTGACATTGGTGATGGGGCAATAAAGTGGGAATTCTTGGGTGCTGCGATGAGGGCATGAATTATTGTGGCTTTTGGAAGGACTTTGGCCCTCTGTGTTAAATTTTCAAGCCCTTTTATTTTTAGAAATTTCACCCTAAGGAAATAAGCATGCACAAAGATTTATTTATAGGATGAATATTGGTTACTTACGATAGACAGTCTGATTTTTCACTAACAAGGAAATTGCTAAGTAAATTGTTGTAATTTCTTAAAGAGAATATTATGTGGCCATTAAAAGCCACATTTTTAAAGAATGTACCTATGTGTATTTACCTTTTTTTGGGGGGGTGGCTTAAAACATTTATTCTCAGTTCTGGAGGCTAGAAATCTGGAATCAATGTTTACCTCTCTCTGAATGCTGTAATAGAGAATCCAACTTTCTCTTCCAGCGTCTGCATTTTAAAGGAGGAGTTAATTCCCATGACATTACGTGAAAAGAGTAAAAATAAAAGTTTGCTATTATGTGATGCCAATTTTTAAAAATAACCAAATATGAATACAAATGATGTGGTGGATTATGGGTCTTCATATTTACCTTCTGATGCTTTTCTGGGTTCTCTAAATTTTCTGTAATGAACATAGGCACAGAAGCAGTTCTAGGTCGTTGCTTTGAAGATTTCATTAAATGCCTTTGCAGTATCTGTAGGTGTCACAAAACCATTGGGTTGACCATGTTTCGTTTTGCTTCCTTGACCCAGGGATC